GCAATAAATAAACCACCGACGTCTTATGCTATAATTACAAAAAACAGAGTAGCGATTCCAAATTCAGACCTGTAACGACGTTTTTAAAACATCTCGACGTAGTAATATCATTCAAACGACGCAATAAATAAAACACCGACGTCTTATGCTATAATTACAAAAACAGAGTAGCGATTCCAAATTCAGACCTGTAACGACGTTTTTTAAAACATATCGACGTAGTAATATCATTCACATGATGCAAAATATAACATAAGACGTAATAAGAATTATCATGGCAATACAGAGTTTAATAAAAATTTAAAACAGAGTGAGTAGGCTTACAATTAATTTTGCTTTCTCTGCCACCTTTGGATCAGGGATGTTACCATCTTTGTCTTGTCTAGCTTTCTTCCATAAGGTAGATCGATCAATTTCTACCCGAGGCATGGTTTCCTCCAGTTGATCCTCCAAATCAGCATATCCTTTTGGAGGCAATCGATGATTGTACTCAAGTTTCTCCCTAATCTTTGAATGTTGAGAATGCATAGACACTAATTCTTGGGATAACCTTGAAGCTACAAAGGCATCCCATTTCTGCTTTCTCTATGAATTTATATAGTTCTGGGGGTTGGCTTAATTTCTCCCTCTCCTTGATGTATGGAATGTAACACCCCGACTACAAGTTTATTGCCTATTTTAATTTATTTAAGTAGAATTACGAATTTACCCTTGGGATAGGGGTAATTTGGTCATTTCTTATCCAAAAGGAATTTGGGAATTCCGGCTATATTATTGCGTAGAGCACAACGAGATGAGTCCGTAGACACGTAGTGGGCTCGAATCGGAATTGTAACGAGAGAGTTACGATCGAATGAAACTCAGTGGCACGATCGTAATTATTTGGAAAAAGGATTTTTGATAAAAAGTCAGATTTGCCCTCAGCTCTCTCTCTCTCTCTCCTGCATACGCTCTCTCTCTCCCCGACCAGATCACTCTCTCTCTTTGATTCTCTCAACTCCGGCCACAGCAAAGGCCGGCACCGGTCCCGTTAGCTTCATCTCGACGTCCCGGTCATGACCCATCCCTTCTCCCGGCCGAAAAGCTTGAGAATTGCTGGCTGTTTCGACTGGTATGAACCGGGGTATTCCTGGCGTTGCGCCGCCTCCTCCGCCGCCCAATCTCAGTGAAACATGTATGGTTCCTCACCCATTTTGCGAGCTCTAGTTGCCTGTTGGGTAGGATTGGATCAATTTTTAACGCAGATACTCAATTTAGAACCTAGGTTTTTGGCCGAATTTCGGGTTGAAATCCCAGCCACTTGCCGTTCGAATTGGACGTTGCCGCAGTTGAATAAGTTGCTCCACTCGTCGAATACTAGCTGGAGCAGGAAGGGTGGCTCTCAATTTGGAAGTTTTTCGGCGATGCGATATCGCTTTGGGCCACCACGCGATGCCTGAGCGCGTGGCGGCGCGTGGGCACTGTAGAAAAGGGCATTGTGTCCTGATGTGATCTCCTGGTTTACATGAGCACGTGGGTTCTTTCGGATTCCAATTCAGTTGACGTTTGAACCCCGAACGGACTACACATATTGTACGTTATTCGGGTTCGCTAGGTTTGGACCGTTGGATGGTCCTTAATTGATAATATGTTATTCTAGACATTCCTAGGATCGTGTAGGATTCGACAGATCGTAAAATGGAGTCCCGGATACTCCGGAAATGCCAACCCTAGGGCTAGGATTTTAGTGACCGTCCAATCGTGCGATTGTGAGCGATCTGACCGTCTGATCTGGACCAAACTTGCAGGACATGTGTCCTAGACCAAGTAGAACCTATAAGAACTTTCAGATCAAAATTTGGAGGTCGTGGGCCCTGCGGGCCCGTTTGACCAAGGGTGGGTAGTTTGACCCCGAGATTGACCGTGAGACTTCCTAGGTAGTGTTACCTTCTTAGGAAGATTAAAATGACCGTAATGACGGGTCTTGATTGTATGTTGGTTATGTGGGATTAGGATATTAGTTACGGTCCAGAATTTGGGGATTATTGATGCTATTCCAGGGTTGAGGTTTATGAAATAGAGGTTTATATTTATATATAATCATGTGTGTATACAAAGGTATAAAAGAGTTTAGATGTCAATTTGGAGTGTTATACGCACTACCCTATGTACCTCCCCGGATATTGATTACCCTGTGTAAGTACCGTCCTGTGATATTGTGTTGAGGTCGCACGTGTCGTAGGAGTAGCTAGCGTGTTGACAGACCCCATATGTGGTCGGGCACGTCCCAACGTATGAGGAGTGATATGTGATATTGTGTGAGGTCACACGTGTCGTAGGAGTAGCCGGCGTGTTAACAGACCCTATACGTGGCCGGGTGCGTCCCGACATATGAGGGGATTATGTGATATGCTTGTGAGGTCGCACGTGTCGTAGGAGTAGCCGGCGTGTTGACAGACCCCATACATGGCCAGGTGTGTCCCGATGTATGAGGGGTGATATGTGATATTGTGTGAGGTCACACGTGTCGTAGGAGTAGCCGGTGTGTTGACCGACCCTATATGTGGCCGGGTGCGTCCCGACGTGTGAGGGGATTATGTGATGTGCTTGTGACGTCGCACGTGTCTTAGGAGTAGTCGGCGTGTTGACAAACCTCATAATTGGCCAGGTGTGTCCCGACGTATGAGGGGTGATATGTGATATTGTGTGAGGTCACACGTGTCGTAGGAGTACCCGGTGTGTTGACCGACCCTATACGTGGCCGGGTGCGTCCCGACGTATGAGGGGTGATATGTGATATTGTGTGAGGTCACAGGTGTCGTAGGAGTAGCCGGCGTGTTGACAGACCCCATACGTGGCCCGATGCATCCCGACGTATGAGGGGTGATATTGTGATTGTGTTGAGGTCGCACGTGTCGTAGGAGTAGCCGGCGTGTTGACAGACCCCATACGTGGCCGGGTGCGTCCCCACGTATGAGGGGAGATATTGTGATTGTGTTGATGTCGCACGTGTCGTAGGAGTAGCCGGCATGTTGACAGACCCCATGCGTGGCCGAGTGCGTCCTGTCGTATGGGGAGTTATTGATATTGTGTTGAGGTCGCACGTGTCGTAGGAGTAGCTGGCGTGTTGACAAACCCCATACGTGACCGGGTGCATCCCGACGTATGAGGGAATATATGTGACATGATGATGAGTTCCCACGTATCGTAGGTTTATCCGACGTGCGGATAGGCCCCATACGTGACTTTGGATGTTCCGGCGTATGGGGAGATTTTGTGAGTATTGTTGAGTTGTGATTTAGAGGAAAAAGGGTTTTAGTGAAAGAACTACGTGTGGCTTGATCCCTCAGTAAGGGTACGTAGGCAGCCTGAAGTTACTAGGTGCAGCCGTTGGTTAAACTTTGCTTTTGTATGTTATGAGTGTGGTGCGGACCTTGTCATTGGTCCTGAGATTCAGGTAAGAACTAGAGGTGTGCTTATTAGGAGGTTAAATCTTTGTATGTTGATTAGAGTGGGCGTTTATAAATAAGTTTGACATGGTTATATGCATTGTTTAATGCATTAATTGGATTTAAGAGCATTGCTGGCGAAATATTAGAAGGCCGGAGGCCATTTGTGTGAACTGCGTGTTGTTATATTGTGCATGCTGCCAGTTGGTGTTATTAAATTGTGTTTTATGCAGGTTGAACATTTGGGGAATGTTCAATTTACAAGGGAGACTTTGCCGAATTTTTGGCAGAAAGTCTCGTGCCCCTACTCCTTTTTAAAAAAGGAGGTTACAGTCTAGTGAGTGGGCCCGACATTGGGGTGATATCGGGGTTTCCACAGGATTCGTCTCGGGTTCCGGGAAATTCGGGGCGTGTCCTGTCATGGAAGGATATAATGCCTCGTTACTGTAGACTTGAAATCCTTCCATTTCTTGGCAACAGAAGATAACACCAGGTTCTTGCCCCCTTGACCTACCACAAAAGCCATGTCAACGGCTTCCCAAATCTGCTCCTTTATATCCTTGGGGATTTCAGCCCATTTCTTGTCCACAAGTGGGACTCTGGAGCGTGCCAACACACCAATGTAGGACTGGATCTCAGTATGTGTAGGGCCACATCCTTCCCCCCTTTTATTGTACTCAACAACTGGCTTGATTTTCTGAAATTTTCTCTTCACAACACGAGGCATTGTGCTCATACCTCGACCTGACTTTGAATCCTCAGAAATTGTTGTCGTGCTGGCTGGTTCTGTCTCAGTAGATGAAACAAACTTCATCTTCTTCAAGGACTTGTCTTGAGGAGTTACCATTCCAAGCTCCTTACCTCCATTTTTTTTCGAGCCAGAGTCCTTACTTTGTTCTTGAGAAACCATGATTACAAACAAATCAAACCTGCAAGTGAAAATATTTTAGGAAAAAATTAAGAACACAAACGACGGTTATTCATAAAACACAACGTATGATAAGATTTTACATGACACAATAACATAACATCAGACGTAATAAATGTTTAAAACGATGGTACTTAAACAACGACGAAACAATATAAAAGAAGACGTAATAAGAACTTATTACGGTGATATTTACACTTTGTCGTGATATTTAAATTCAAATAACTTTAATATTAATATAACGTCGTGGTATTAACATTCACACGACGTGAATAATAAGATACCGTCGTCTATATAAAATTTCAAACCCTTCTTTCTTTGTCTGTGAATGTTTGATTGCAGGTTTGATTTCTCTGAACCATGGTTTTTGTTTTTCCTAATTTGATAAAATACAAAGACAAAGAAAGAAGGTTTTGGAATCTTATATAGACGACGGTATCTTAATATAACGTCGTGGTATTAACATTCACACGACGTGAATAATAAGATAGCATCGTCTATATAAGATACCAAACCCTACTTTCTTTTTCTTTGTATTTTATCAAATTAGGAAAAACAAAAACCATGGTTCAGAGAAATCAAACCTGCAATCAAACAAGCAAATAAAAAAACAACGGTCATTTTAAAAACAACTTAGATCAATTTTCAGACAACGCTAGGACGACTGACGAAATGTCGTGGTCTACATATTTAACCACGTAAATAAGAAGCTATCGTTGTCTTATTTAGTTGAAGTAGTTGTGTTCAAAGTTGGAAACTTTCCCTCTTTGTCTGTATATTTTATCAAACTTGGAAAGAATTAAAATGATTTTGGCCAGAAAAAAGGTAAAAAGATTTTCAAAACAAAAACCGTATGAGCATGCAAAACAGCAACAAAAATAGTAAGATTTTGCGTGCAATGAAAGCTTCCTCTCAGAGTTTGATGTTTAAGTTTAGAGACGATGACGAAGACGAGAGAAGACGATGAGATACACTGACAGTTCTCTGACAAGGGAAAAAGATGAAAAGTTTTCTCTCGGAGATTGAAATTTATTATCGGGTTTGGAAACAGTGCATGTGTAAGTCAGGTAGACAAAAAGTTGAATATATACACAAACCGTTTCATAAAAATAAGACGGCGGTTGACAGAGAACGATGACGTATAAATAAAAAACTACGACGATAATTTGAACTTAGGACGTGGTAAATAAATACGACAGCAGTGTTGTAGGTACCGTCGTAGTAAACTCCAAAATAAAAGTCGATAAATTAATATCTCGCGTCATGGTACAAGGATTTAACACGTCGTTTTTTTGTAATATACCGACGTGGATTTTTATAATATACGACGTATATTAAATAATAACCGACGTTGATTTTACAATTAAACAACGATTTGTGTGTAAGGACCGCCGTGGGTTTTAAAAGTTATTGTATAAATTTGTCGCTTTCTTTCAGTTTCAGTTTTCATTTAGGTTTCCAAGTTCTTCCTCTCTCACAGACACTCTCTCTCACATCTCAAAGACAATAATTTGGATGTCTTTCTCAAAGAGAAATGGAGCTTACTCTCCAACAAATCTATGTCCACAAGAAGAAGCTTGTCATCTAGGCTTCTCACTTCTATAGGAGACTTTAGTGCTTTTGATTAATCCTTGCTTTCCATCAAAAGAGTTGCAAGCCTGGCCTCCACTCGCTGTCGAAGGAAAGTTCGCTTCTCAGCACAGGTCCACTGCGCCATTCCTTTGCAAAGGAAAATCTGAAGATCAGATGTGCCTGATCCTCTGCTCGATTTTCTTGGCTAAGAAGATCTGTCAGATTTGTGATAGCCTGTTCCTTTATCCGTAGAGCTTCAGAAGAAGAAGATGGGTTTTCAAGAATGCGATAAAGAATAGAAATGGCTTCAGATGGCCTCTAAAGCCTGAGCAATTGAATTTGTAAAGACATTGTCAATGCTTTGAACTATCCAAGTCCTGCAGAAAGAGAACAGACCAAGCTATTAAAATTGAAACAACGACGGTTTTTTGTTCTACCGTCATCTTTTTTGGTCGTCTTTTTTGTCGTCGTAGTATATTAAAGTAAGATGGCGGTAGGTTTATAATTACCGACGTAGATTATTTTTGTTAAACGTCGTTAAGTGTAATATAATCGACATGGATTTTATTTTTTAATTATAAATAGAGTTTTTTTTCCCGAGTTCTTTCAGTTTTAGTTTTCAATTACAGTACGTTATAAATAGAGTTTTTTTTTCCTGAGCAAATTTAAAATGACGAAAATTAATGTTCTAGAATTTGTAAAGTTTCTTGTTTGGGTGACTGATTTAAATCAAATACGAATATAAAAACAAGGACAGTTTTTTGTTCTACCATCGTCTTTTTTCACTAAGACGACGCAATATATTTGTTTCGCGACGTGGATTCGTTTTGTTAAACGTCGTTAGGTGTAATTTAACCAACGTGGATTTGATTTTTTAATTATAAATAGAGTTTTTTTTCACGAGTTCTTTCAGTTTTAGTTTTCAATTAGGGTTTCAACTTCTTCTTGCCCTTTTCTCTGTCTCACCTCACCTCTTAGAAGGCAATTGTTTGGATGTTGGTGTGTGTCTATGTTTTGTGTATCTGATTCGCAAACATATACACATCACCAATTTTCAAAAAATTGTCTATCTGATTGCAAATCTGTGGCTGCTGTCGTGAAATTTTAGGAGGCAATTGTTTGGATGTTGATGTGTGTGTGCGTTTGTGTAGATACACAAATGCACACACATCATCAACTTCCAAAAAATTGTCTCTCTGATTGCAAATCTGAGGCTGCCATCGTCAAATTTCAGAGGCAATTTTTTGGATATTAATGTGTATGTGCGTTTGTGTATCTCAAAGACACAAATACACATACATCATTAACCTCTAAAATATTATCTTTCTGGTAAGATTATGATGAGGAATAGAGTTCCATCTGGTAAAATTTCGTAACCCTTGGGATCTCAGAAAAATTTGATTATGTCGGCGGTTTTCTATATAAACCGTCGTGGTTATTTCAATTCTTGTCATTAAGTTGATCTACCAACGTAGGATAACAAAATCCAAGAAATAAATTGTTAAAAAAAATTCTTATTAAGACGACGGTTTAAATATAAGGTCTGACGTATAAAGTAAATAAATACGATATTAAATTTTATAATACGTCGTTAAATGAAAAACCCCAAATGTAGTGAGAGTTAAAGATACCGTCATAGAACTATATGAGAAAGATGTCGATATATTTATCTTTGCCGTAGTTGTACATTAATTTAATATGGCAGTATTTTGTATTATACCACCGTGGATTTATTTGTAATTATACGGCGCCTTATACGAAAACTTGGTCGTGTTAATTTCTGAGTAAAAACAGCGGCTTTTTTTGACATCGTCGTCTTTACTTTCTATGTCGGTCTATTCATAACTTCTGCCGTTCTTTGTTGGCTTAGATTTTACTCAGCGGAAATCCTATTTCAATAAGACGTCGATTTTTTAATTAGGTGCGTCGTTTTTTAGGAACAACCATTGGAATCTCCATTTTTTAGGTGTCTAAGGTGTTATTACACGGCGGTTTTATAGAACCGTCGTCCTTTAAAAAGCAACGATGGTTTTCCCTTAAACCGTCATTTTTTTCTGGTCGTCTTTGTCACTTTTTGTAGTAGTGATTCTATTTGGAACCTCCAACATAGAACGTATATCCAACATGCTACCAGCCCGGACGTTTGGATCAAATTTGAACATGAAAGACTCATTAAGTTATGTGAAAACCCTTTGAAAAACTATGCAACCCTTAAGATGTGGTGTTCATCTCAAGTGAAATTACAATTATTAATCATAAGAAGCTAGGGTGTGTACGTACCCTTACTAAGGGATCAAGCTGCACATAGTCCAATTGTTAAATAACCCACACACTAGATCTTGTTCTTTAATGTAACCAACGGCAATAGACTAAACTAGCAAATTTTAGAAAACTTAGAAACACACAAGAGTTATACTGGTTCTGCAGAACTTTTGCCTACGTCCAGTTGTGATTCTCTAGGTAGAGAAATCACTGCTCATTTGATTAATAATAGAGATTACAGAACTTTTGCAACCCTATAACTAATCTCAAAACTCTCGGCTATCTCTGGTTGTTTTTCCCCTAAAATAAGCTTTGCCACACCCTATTTATAGATATAGAGTCGGCTTACATGTCCCAAGGCTGATTGAATTCCTATTTCTAAGTGGATTAGGAAATTACACTTATCCAAAACCAAATAGACTTCTAGGAATGGAAACCAAAATTGAATAAGGAAAACTGAAATTCTTTCCTAATCCCTCTAGGACAAGAAACAGTATACCTCTAATTTTCCTAAAACAATCCTAAACCAACTAGGACATATTTGACGAGCCAAAATCCTAACAATCTCCACCTTGGTGAGTCAAACCAAGTCTTGATCGTTGCACCCCAGAGTATCTTTGAACCTCCTTGAAGCAGCTCTGGAAATCTTTTAGAGTCTTCACCTTGGCAATCTTCTTCTTGCCTCATTGCACCTCAAGTGAGGAGGTGCTCCACTTTAATCAATCAACGAGATTGATCAAGTTCAAGCAATGCTTGAACTTCTTGGCCGGCACTATCTTTGTAAGGAAATCTGTGGCATTGTCATCCGTATGAATCTTTTCAATCCAAATCTCCTTAGACTCCACCCAATTTCTAATTCTATGATATCTTGCTTCAATGTGCTTTTATCTTCCAAAAAGAACTTGATTCTTTGCCAAGTGAATGGCACTTTGACTATCACACTTCAGCTTCACACAATCTTGGGTGATTCCCATTTGACTTACCCAGCCACTAAGCCAAATTGCTCTCTTGTCCAGCTTTGGCCAATGCAATATACTCTGCCTTTGTGGTTGACAAAGCTGTAATTGGTTGCAGTAGTGCCCTCCAACTGATTGGTCCTCCTACGCATGTAAACACATAACCAGAAGTTGACCTTCTCTTGTCCAAGTCCCCTGCATAATCGGCATCCACATTTCCCAACACCCCTGCATTTTCTTTTTGCTTCTCAAATAATGCAAAATCCACTTGACTACATCCCAATGTTGCTTTCCGGGACTTGCCATGTAACTGGAAGTGAGCTGCCAAAGGAGTCAAAACTACCTATGCTTCTTGCATGTTGAACTTCTCAAGAACCTTTTGAATATACTTGGCTTGTGATATCCAGATCCTTCCAGCGGTCCTATCTCTCTGAATTTCCATGCTAAGGATCTTCTGTGCTGCACCTAGATCCTTCATGTCGAACTCCTCGCTCAACATCTTCTTCAAGTCTTGAATTCTAGACTTGTCTTGACAACGATTAGCATGTCATCCACATATAGCAATAGAAATAGCAATATGATCATCCCATCTTGGAACACATGATAGTACACGCAATAGTCATATAAACATCTTCTAAAATTGACTTTCAGCATGAAGTAATTGAACCTCTCGTACCACTTTCTTGGAGACTGTTTCAGGCCATATAGGGACTTCCTTAGCTGACATACTAGATTCTCCACTACTACAAAAAAGAAAAAACACGACAGGAATTCACCGTCGTGTATTCTGTTTTCAAATGGCCATGGAATCCACCGACATCTTTTTCATAACAAAACCATGACGGTGAATAACCGTCGTTGTTAAAACAAAAAACGTCATCAAAAAATCAAAACCGACGTCTTTGTACTGCAAAAAGACATTAAAAAAACAGTCGAGGATGAGAATAGACGACCAACTCCAATAAAAAAAAGTCGTTAAAAAGGAAACATATGACATATATTAACAGAACATGGCCGCAAGATAAACATACAACGACGAGAACTAAAACTTAACGCCGTTAAATAAATATTTAACAACAAATATAAATATGACGTCTTTACAATCATAATAGACGAAGTTATTGACACCTCCTACGTCACAA